GAGGATCAGAGAAGATCAGATCATCTGGCACCAGGCCTGGCACAGAGTGAGTGCCCAGTGGGGGCAGCTGCTGTCATTACTGGGAGGAGCACGGACACCAAGTGGACGTCTAGTGCAAGCTCTCCTCAAAGCTGGTGACGATGACGTTTCCCACATCAAAGGCTCGTCCCATCCTGCGTTCTGAACAGTTCCTATCTATTCCTGGTTCCCCCTCAAAATGTGAAAACAGTGTGGGGGAAAGGGGGTTTCCTGGGCCTCGGCTCTTACAGTCACGCTCCTGGAAGCTTCTCTGATCACCTAACAATTGTCTGTTAATGGGCTGCTCTGACAATGTACTTATGGTTTGGCCATCAGAACTTGATCCAAATGAGTTTAATGGTGGCATTTCAGGCAGGTGGCAGGTAAGTGTGTAGGTCACATTGTGATCTGTGGCGTGGTGGGAGCTGCTCTTCTTGTAAGTCACACCTCCAGCTTAGCTACCTTCTTGAGCTGTGGCAATGGTATGAGATGAGCATAAACCCCAAGTGAGTGCCACCTGCTCCAGGAAGCTGTCCCCACACTGGTGTGCACTTTCCATATTCTTCCGAAGGCAAAAGGGGACGGCACCACTAGGTGTATTCTAATAGGATTGCTCTGGCTGCCAAGGGGAAATGATTGCAGGGCTGGGCCAGAGGAATCTCCAAACAGATGATGAGGCCTGAGGTGAGTGGTGGCTCTGGGGACAGAGAGGCGAGCCCCGCCCAGCCTTCAGGAACACTCGTAGCCACTGAGCTCAGCCTCTGGGTGGGGTGTACCCGGGCCCTCCAGACCACGTGGGACCATCAGAGCCCCTGCCTGATCCAAGCGAGCACAGTGTGGGGCCCGTGGTCCAGAGCAGGCCTGAGAGACAAGGGCCAGCCTGTGCCTCCCCGAGCAGCATCCAGTCTTAGCCTCGGAGAGAGCCAGGAGGGAGTTTGGCCGTCGGCTACTCCCGTCCCTCCTACAGGAGGCTGCTCCACGCATGAGCTCACCCGCAGGAGGGAGACATGGCCCTTCCTGGCCTAGTTCTTCTTTTCAGAGGCAGAGGCAGCCCTGGCTAATGGGAGATGTGGAGAAGCCAGCCCACCTGTGGCCCCGCCACCACAGGGCGCCAGGCTCCCGCGCACTTGGTTTTGACTGCATTAAGGGAAGCTCGCTGCATGTACAGGATACCAAAATAACACAGAGTGGGGAGCTCAGTGGACACAGGGTGGAAAGGGACAGGAGCAGATGACAATGATGTGTCTGACCCACCCCAAAGGCAGTCCCAGGAACTGGCCTGTGTTTCACACCCAGCTGGCTCCAGCCTCCATGCTCAGCTCACCCCCTCTCCAGCCACCCCACCCCTCTCCCCTGGCTCTTGTCCTACCTCTCCTACCCTGTTCCCATCTTCCAGCCATACCAGGTGACTCTCTGAACACCAGCATCCCCTCCGCCTTCCCATCTCCACGGCCAGCACATCTCTTCTCCCTCTGCCTTCTTGGCACATGCACACGCCCTCCCTTCGGAGGCACCTCCCACATCTCTGCTCACAGTCCAGCTGGAAGGGGCGCCTCCCTCCTCTGACCCCTGCAGCTCTCCCTCTCTCTCTCTCTCTCTCTCTCTCGTGACGTTTACTGTGGTTATTCACGTCCACATACTCACTGCTCCACTAAGCTGAGATGTCCTCAAGAGCTAGGGTTCATGTCTTATCGCTTCTCTCAACACAGCACAGGACCTGACACACAGTCAGCGTCTAATAACTGCTGTTTCTTCTTCTGTGGATGACTCACTGTACGGTGCTGTGTGTGTCTGTCACAGCAAAGCCGGGCAACTCCTCAGCACACATACCACCATTACCCCCTTCTACACCTGAGGAAGACGTGATTAATTGACCTCTGAATGCTTTCCCTCTGAGCTAGGACTCAGCCTCAGGGTAATTCTCAACACAGAGCTCTAGCATGTTTACTGCTTAGGGGAGCAGTGAATATGTGGACACTAATAACCATGGTAACCANCTTAAACTTTTCTAGGCATAACATTTACCTGGAATGCTTGATTAAAATGCCTATGTCTGGACCCTTTATACTCAAAAACTCAACTGGGAAGACTGAAGGTGTGCCTAGAATCTGTAGTTGACAAAGCACCCCGGGTGCTCATGCAAATCGTCTCAGACTACAGTCAGGCATGACTCATCAGGTCTGTACAAGTCTGTAGCTCCCCTCATTGCATGAATGGTGAACCAGAGGCCCAGAAGGACACACAGTGCCCGAGGTCACACAGCAAGCATCAGGGCCAGAACGCAAGGCTCTTTGCAGACTCCCATGAGATAGATGGCTGCCTGAAGCCCTCTAGGAGTGGGATATCAGAAGGCCAACCGGGGCAGGAACCCACACCCAAGGGAAGGTACTGAAGGGCCAGACTTACCCCTTGCTCCATGCTGTCATTGGCACGGTCTGTAACTTTGGAGATGAGCGTCAGCACACCTGCAGAGGGAAACAGAGTGGACAGCGGCCATCAGAGAGCGCCAGTCTAGTGGTGTCCACTGTCCTGGCCTCTTTCCCGATGCTCCCCCCCTCTGCCCCTCCCCCACCCACTCCCTGACCCGCTGCAGCTCCAGGGCCTTGTGTGTGTGGGGGGGGAGGGCACCAATTTTTCCCATTGTGGTGTCAGGTCACAGGCCCCAACCCCAGCTCTGCCACTACTGCCTAACTGACCTTGACAGTGATTTGACCACTCTGCCTCAGTCCCCGTGACTTTAAACTGAACATGGTATAATAGGAACTGCCCTAACAGGTCATATGCAGGGGCAGCTACACGGGACTGGGAGGAAACAGGGAGACTGGGGTAGGCTTTTCAGACCCAGCACCACCCCTCCTCCCACCAAATTCTGATGACCCCCTTCTGCTCCGACTGAACATCAGCCCATCTCAGGGAGTCCCCATGGTTGACGGGAAGGGGGAATCATCTCAGAAGATTCGGAGGCTCTCACAGAAGCCCCAGGAGTGCCATGTGCAGAACACACCCAGCGGGGGGAGGGGACTGTGTCCTGGGCCTGGGAACCGATGTGGAGTCCAGGGTTGGGGGGAGAGGG